GTTTTATATGCTTTCCTCTATATTGGTTTGCTTGAGTCCTTATATGCGTCTTTCTTTGCCTCTGTCTGAGTCCAATCACTCTATATCACTATCAAAGGAGCTCTTCAGAAATATGGCACAATAATATTCAGCATAAAATCAATGGCTTGTTTAATTTAAACAGGGAGGAAGTGGGGAGGCTGGGTAATTGCAGAGAAAGGCCCACAAATCAGCCGTCCTTGTTATCCCATTTGACGGACCATTAAACGTCTGCAGGAATAAACATTATTTTTAGTTTAACTACCAGCTTCTGCCGGCTATAGAGTAGATGGGTGAATCGTTCTAAAATTAAATAAATAAAAGTGGTGTTTAGAGGCACAGAAGTCTGGGCTGTTTGTTTATTCCAACATATATATATTTACCCCATCTTATTTCTCTCTAGATGGTCATTTTTTGTTTTTTAACAGTTGATCCAAAAAATGTTTCCACTCTAAAACAGGGTGACCATTTTTTCAAAAATACATTGCAGCCTGCATGTGATAAGTAAAAGTGTTACATCCCAAGCATTATTTTGAATTGTAGTTCACACATTACTTTTCTTACAAATAAGAAACTAACACAAAAACAAATAAAATCCACATAGACATGCTAATTGTGGTATGCTCAGAAGTTTTGTAGCTGTAGTCTGCTGGTCCAAGATGCACTGATCAGCTACAACCACTGGCAGGTTAATGTACCAGCTGCACAGGCTGGGGAACATCTGGTGACAACCGGTTACATAGAGACAAATCTGTACTTCCTTAAAAGTTGCGAGTGGTTGCTTGAAGTTGCTGTGAAATCCACTGCAAAGCCCCGATCACACAGGCCTATAGACCTGTAACTGACCTCCTGATAACCACCGGTCAAAGGATAAATATATTCCCTGAGAGGTTAGTGACTATTTGTGGGAGGTTGCTTAGATTTAATTGGCTGCAAACATCTGTGTTGCTGCCCTGAAAACCTCCTTGTGTTTGTTTTCAATTTTGTGTGGAAGACATCAACTTGTCTGCTATCACTCGTGGTAGCATCTCTGTGGGCACGTGAGGTGTTAAAAAAAATGCTTTACTGTAATCCAACAGACGTGTATAGATCAACAATGGATGGAATGTGGGATAGAGTATGACCGTGCAGCGTTTAAAGCATGGAAGTACTGACATTACTTGGAGTTTGATTCTGTAAAAAGTGACAAAAACATTAGCATCTGCTGTACACTCTGGGTGGGAAGAAAACTTCTTTCTGCAGCGAAAAATTTGACTTCAGATCTGAGCAAGCACTAAGCATCTTCCACGGGAATGTGAAATTCACAGAGAAACCCCTGGATCCTCCCCACTGACATGACCGCTGCAGCACCGGGAAAACCTCCACCAGTCCCACTCCTGCTAAATGGGTAAAAATAGGTTTAAGAGCAACAGGACTTAATGCTGCTGAATCTTTGATTTTATTTATTTTTGCTGTGTTTTACTTGTATCTATTTGAAAGAGTGGGTGTAAAGACAAAAAAATATTTTATTTTATACGCTGGAATATGCAGGAAATAGGTTTAAATGTTAAAACAAATTTTTCCAGTCAGAGACTGTTGCATATAATTGCATTTCTGCTTAATGCAATGAGCATAAAGTTAAAAGATTAAAACTAATAAAAAATTTTTTAAAGAAACCTTTTCATTTGATTCAATTTTATATGATGGATTATGCAGAAAAAAGAGAATTGGGCTGAAAGGTCTATTGCTTTATAATCAGTGTTGGGCAAGTTAGTTTGAAAAAGTAATTAATTATAGTTACTAGTTACTTCTTCAAAAAAGTAACTGAGTTAGTAACTGAGTTACAAGATTGTAAAAGTAATTAATTACTTGAAAAGTAACTATTGCGATACTTTAAAAAAAATGTTTAGCCCTCTGGGGTCCAGGGTATAATTGGCCGTTTTTAACTACTTTTGATGTTTCCTCTACATTTCACCTTTAAAAACTATTTACTTTGCCTTGTTTGGTATCATCCTTTTCAGCACAACCTCACGTGTCTGAATTTACAGTTATGTTTTCATTTTGATACTGTATTAACACAATTGATCTAAAATCAGACAAAAAACATAAAATCTGAGTAGAAAAAGTTAAATTTTTTACTGTAACAACCACAAACATGTTCGTTGAATCATATTTTTAAAATCCTATGCACAAGTTTTGCAAACAAAGTTATTTGCAGCCATTTACCTTTTAGCCTTTTGTATAACCATTTCAAACTACACTGTAAAATCTAATTAGTTCCCAGAACTCAAAAAAATTGAGGAAACTCGTTGCCTCAAAAAAATTGAGTAAAGCTTAGCTAAAAATGACTAAATTAGGACAACTTATTTATTTTGAGTGCTCTGTACGAGCTCATTTGTTCCCAGAACTCAAAAAATTGGATCAAGGTTACGTAAGATGACCAAGTTAGGGCAACTTACTCATTTTGAGTACACTGTACAGCCTTGTTAGTTCCCAGAACTCAAAAGAATTAAGGAAACTCGTTGCCTCTAAAAAACTAAGTAAAGCTTACTTAAGATGACTTTTAGGACAACTTATACAGTGCAAGTCTACAGTATTAAGAATAACTTGATATTCCTGACTGTACAATACTAATTGTTTACCTACTGACAAACATTTCAAGTTCAACTGAATGAAAAAAACAATTTGTGGTAACCTGAATATGATAAAAAATTATTAACAACACTTTTTGTAATGATGTTAAAATCAGCCCAACTTTTATTTTCAAACACAACAAAGTATAACAGCTAACATACTGGACACTGTTCTGCTGAACAACAAACAATTATATTGCCATCACTGTTATAATCTTACAATGAAACAAAGTCTCAGATGTAATTATTCTGAAAATAAGTTTAGGCCTACCACAACTTTGTTTTGTACTTACATTACTTATATAATCAAAATGAAATACTTGTTGTTCTGTCACAAGTGCAGTCTCTAATTTAAACAACACATTATTTTTGCATTCCAACACATGAGCTGGAATGTTGTAATATTTTAAGGATGGCTTGTTTCCAGTCCAGGCATTACTGCCTGAATGACTGTCATGGATCCAGGTGATCCAAATGTAGGTGCAGAAGAAAGTCTTTAACTTCCCTTAAGTACAGTGCCAGTGGATGTGGGTTGGAGATGCAATGAACTTGAACCTGCAGGCGACCATCTTCACTCACCACACCATCTGTGACGGAGGACTCATCTCTCCTGGTGTCCTGCAAGCAAACAATCATATTTTTTGGAACATGAACTTAATTGCTTTCTTAAAACATTTTTTTTCTGCATTTGGTATAAAACAGACTCCAATTTGGACAATCTCAGGCTCCCTCCCCACCGGAGAGGTGACATTCAATGTCCCAATTGTCAGTCTGGATAGCCGTGACCACCACCCAACACACAATAATGTCATGAAAGCATCATTTTATGCAAACATAAAAAGGGCTATGCAAACATGGCCAATAACTTTCATTCTAATGATGTGCAAAATGATTTGGCCACAAAACAAATTTTGCTGTTAGAAAACTTGCAGACTTCACTTTATACAGTGTAGACCCTCTAAACTAAGTTTGGGGGATATGATCTTTCAAGAAATGCAGACCAAACTGTTGTTGTTTGTTTACTTACACAGCATGTCTTGTAGAATTAACTGGAGTCACCAGCAACAGCATAGTGCAGTCATATCTCAAGTCTGATAACAGAAGACAGGAAAAGATCAGTAAAGAAACAACAACAACAATAAGTAAAACAGGCTGATCTAAAGTATGATTAAAGTTCAGCCTGATTAATATAAATGTCACTGACAGTTGCTAATATATTGGAAAACCAAAATACTTACCACTGAGTTGATGTCTTTCTGTCCAACAGCAGGAGTGCTGGTCCCGAGCCTCAAAGACAGTAAGAAGCAAGCAGAGGGAAAAAAAGCAGAACATTTTTCAGAAACCGATTTGATCCTTAATGGCTGTGCAATCATTGTAACATAGAGTTTGCTTATGTTGTTAAATAAAGGCTAGATTTGACATTAATAGATGTCACAGATGTTCAAAAACTGCCACAAAGCATGAAAAAAAAATGGACGCACAGGCTCCGACAACCGTGGCCGACAAATGCGATCCTCCTTTTCCCCAGACTACCCTTTCTGGGTGACAAAATAACCTTTTAAGATATTTTCAGCCGAGAATGTAGCTATGTAATGCTTTTTATTTCAAACAATCAACAGAAAATTTCACAGACATATTTTTATGTAAGGTTTTTAAGGCTGTGGTGTTCATTTTTAAGTAACATGAGCCCAGCGGCAGCAGCAACGCTAGGCTAACACTAACTAGCTAGCAAGATTATAAACCTGGTGCTAAACTAAGAGAAGCCACAAAATCAGTTTGAATAAGAGTAAACATTTACTCACCAAGCCTGTTTGTGACCGATTTCACCCAGCAACCACTACCCAAGCTGTCAGGGAATACACATTTTTCCCTAGTGACTGGAGGTTGCAGGGTAGTCGCTGACCTCTCTCTAGGTCTGCATGACTGAGGCATAAGTAAATTGGTCGATTATCTCGTTACCATCAAGTTATCTGATGGGAAACTCTGTGTCCTGGCAATGATGTGTATGTTACTTTAACTCGTTTACCACCTACCTGAACGTTGTTGATGACCAAGCACACCGCCCCCCCCAACAAAAGTAGTCTATTTTAGCAGGACACTACACAACAAAAATATTCATTACAGGCTCTACGAACATGACAAAGAGCCAGGGTAGTGACCTGTTCTTCAAATTTCCCTGATTTACATACATGGGATTTGCCTGTTTTGATGGCAGAAGGCACACCTACACAGTCTTTGGCTCATGTATATATAAGCATCTTGGCACAACATGGTCCCGTTTTAGGATCCACGTAGAGTTAACACTAGACTCTTCGCCAGTCAGTACATTTTGTTATAACAGTGCCAGACACTGAGCATTTCTTTTCTTTTCTTTTTTTTTTGTTGTTAATTTTGAATAAAATGAAATTTTTTTAAAACATAGATTTCCTACCGACTTGACCTGTGTGACTGCACTGCAACGTGCAGTAAATAGGAGGGTTTTGTGTGGATAAAGTAGACATTTTTAACGAACGTGTAACAATCACGTTCCAGTCCCTCAGACTGCAACCGGGACAATTTAGTGGAAGCAGTAATGTGGAAGTTAGTTGGAGTGAAATCGAATGGTTTTACTAGGTGGACGATGATAGAAGGCCCCTTCACCATCTTCACCTGACTGGTTGAGAAAATTAGTCATTCTCTTTCTGTCATTGCAGTGACCCTCATATTTTCCTCTTTTTGAGAGAACAAAGCAGACGTGTGTCAGATAAAAGTGCAGTGTGTTAGATAGTCACGTTAGCCCCGCTCCAACTCCCATCTTACTTTTACAGATAACATATTTTGTTGTTGCCCTTGATAAAAGCGTCTCCCCTTGGGAGATGTCAGAAATTAACTTTATCTGGTCTTTAATTAGGGTACATGTGCTCTGGTGCATCTCTCACACACCCCTAAACCCTTCCTGCACCCTCCCCAGCCCAGCCCTAACACTGTCATTTTCAAAGCTATTTTAAGACAATGTGTGATTATCTGTGACATTGCTTGACATGTGCCTCAAGGCTGTCTCTCTCTTCACTATCTCGGCTCTCTTCCTCTGTCTCCCTCGCTTCTTCTTTCTGTCTTTCTCTAATCAAAAAGCCAAACCGTGCCGACAGCTCAGAGCAAATAACAAGTCACTCCCCGTGGATGTTTGAAGATGATGGCGCGACCGGAGCAGTGAGGGAGAAAATACACTGTGATCGTTCCCAGTCTTGAAGCCAGCTGAATATTACACATTTCTGCACAAGCGTCATCTAATCATGTATTTGTTTGTGGCTTGTTTATTGTGTAGATTTATAGACAGGTTTATAGATATAGTGCTGAAATTTATAAATTTAAGAAAAAAGAACATCTGAAATGCTAAGCTGTACGGAAACAATCCCCTGAAAATAAGATTTTTTTATTTTTTTTAAGTATAATTCATTACTGGGGCGAAAAATATCACAAAATTTGATTTCCATATAGAGATGTGTAAATATGAGGTGAACGCGCCACTTATATAAGACTTCTGAAGGCATTTTTATTACTACAAAGAGATTTTTCTTTATTCTTTCTTTCTTCTTCTTCTCATATAAATAGTTATTACTTTGTTTGATATAAAACAAGGTGTACACAACTAGTAACGGGAAGCAGGAGTACATGATTTTAGTAAGTTGACAGATTCCACTTCCAGTTGAGGCTCAATATTAAAACATCTTGTGCTGACTGTGATAGATAGATAGATAGATAGATAGATAGATAGATAGATAGATAGATAGATAGATAGATAGATAGATAGATAGATAGATAGATAGATA